ACTACTACTACGACTACTACGACTACTACGACTACTACGACTACTACGACTACTACGACTACTACTACTACTACCACTACCACTACTACTACTACTACTACTACTACTACTACTACTACTACTACTACTACTACTACTACTACTACTACTACTACTACTGCCCGTCTTCTTGCTTCCCCATTCCATCCCTCGTCCTCATCATCATCCATCCTCCTCTTTGGGCGAGCATATATCGCCTGGGCGGCTGGGGGGCCAGCGGGGGGGGGAGACGTTGTATCCAGCGAGGTATCGACCTCTTCGTGCGCTGCCAAGCGTGCAGGTGACATCGCTGTCCGCTGGCCCCTTGGTTATGGAGAGTCTTGCGGAATGGCCCGACGTCCAGATCCGATGAGGCCTTGCGATCTTTGGGTGTTGCCTTGCGTGCATCTGTCGCCGCATTCCTGTGGCCTTGCGGGGTCCCGCGGGGTGCCCCGACGCGCAGACCAAACGAGACTCAGCCTTGCGTCGCTTTCTTGTCGCAACTTGGCGTCCAGCGGAGGTTCAAGCGAGACTTGCGTCCCAGAGAGCTGCCTAGTATGAAACGACGGCCCTTTCCCAGGACTCCTGGGAAGTCCAGCTGAGTGCCCCCGCGCGCAGGTTCACATGAGACCGTGCTTCCCAGGGAGATGCCAAACGTGAAACTGGTGCTGCTTTCCCGAGGTCTGTCGAAGCGTCCCCCCTCACCACACCCCACCCACCATCACACAACACCACACCACACCACACGGATCCAACGAGGCCTCGCCTCGTTGAGTAGTGATTCCTCTCGCTTCGCGGGGTGCACGTCCGGAGCACGTACAGTCACGTCGTCGCGGGGCCTCTTGGGAGCCTCTTGGGGGCCTCCTGGAGGCCTCCTGGGAGTTTCTTCTGGCCTCTTGGGGACTTCTTTGGGGCCTTTCCCCCCTCCCTCCTTTTCATACACCCTCCCCATCTTCCCTTCCTGCGCCGGCTCTAATCATGGGCGCCGCAGTGACCAACTTCCACCTGGCTGGCGCTGCGCCGCAGTTCGCCCAGAGGGGGGAAAATAACATTACACTCCAGTCGCTGTGTCCTTTGGGGGGCTTTTTCGTGGCCTTTTGGAGGCTTCTGGGGGGCTTCTTGGGGGCTTTTTGGGGGCCTCTTGGGGCCTCTTGGGGGCGTCTTGGGCCGTCTTGGGGTGCTTTTGCATTGTTTCGCCCCCTCGGAGGCTGTCTTGGGGGCCTCTCGCGGCCGCATTGGAGCCCTCTTGGGGTCCTCTTGGGCCGTCTTCGCGGCCTCTTGGACCGTTTTGGGGGTCTCTTTGGGCCGTTTTGGGGCCCTCTTGGGCCGTCTTGGGGCCCTCTTGGGGGATTGTTGGGTTGTTCTGGGGCGATTATGCAAGCTGCTTGGGCCGTCATGGCTTTTTGAGAGTCGAAAAAGGCGAGAACGCTAAACTATTGCAAAGACCATGGGGAATCAATGATTTCGGCCTCTGGAGGCGCAGTTGTGGGCGCTCTTGGGGCCCTCTTGGGCCGTCCTTGGGGCTTTTGGGGCCCTCTTGGGGCCGTCTTGGGGGCCTCATGGGCCCCGTTGGGAATATGTTGGGCAGTCTTGGGGCCGTCTTGGGCAGTCTTGGGGCCATCTTGGGCCATCTTGCGGCCCTCTTGGAGTCCCCAGAGGCCAAAGAGGCCGAAATTGCTGATTTTGCATAGGTTTTTGTAGGTTTGGGGCCCCAGAAGGAGGGCCGATCACTTTGGTCCGCTCCCAGGGGGGTTAGGGGGGGAGACATAATAATGTAAGACAATGCAAGGTGTGGCAATTACGCAATCAATCATTGGATACATTGGATACGTTGCATTAAGGCGTTCGCCGAACAAACGCTGCCGCTCAACACGTCACGTCCGGACGTGGATTCCTCTCGCTTCGCGGGGTGCACGTCTGGAGCACGTACAGTCCAGTCGTTGTCTGGCCTCTTGGAGCTTCTTGGGGGCACCTTGGAGGCCTCTTTGGGTCTCTTGGGTCCTCGCGGGGGCGTTTGGGAGGCCTCTTTGGGGCCTCTGGGAGGCATCTTGGGGGCCTCTCGGAGCCCCGTGTGGGCGTTTTTGGGGCGCTTTTGCGCTGTCTGGTCCCTTCGGAGACTGTCTTCGGGTACTCTTGGGTCGTCTTGGGGGCTTCTTGATGCATCTCGGCGGCCTCCTTGGGCTGCCTGGGGGCCCTCTTGGGCCGTTTTGGGGCCCTCTTGACGGTTTCTTTGGCCGTCTGGGGGCCACTTCGGAGGCTGTTTCGGCCGTCCTGGACCTCTGAGGGTCGAAATAGGCGGGGACGCTGAAATCTTCGAAAAGCCATGGGAAATCCATGGTTTTTGGCTCCTGGAGGTGCTCTTGGGGGTCCTCTGGGGGACCTCTTGGGGCGTCCTGTGGTCTTTGTAGGCCCTCTTGGGCCATCTTGGGCCGTCTTGGGGCAGTCGTGGGCAGTCTTGGGGCCATCTTGAGCCGTCTTAAGGCCCTATTGGACCCCCAAGAGGGCCAACAGGCCCAACTCATTGATTTCCTATAGGTTCTGGTAGGTTTTAGGCCCAGGAGGGGAAGGGCCACTTTGGGTCGGCGGAAGTGGTGTGGCCCCTGGGGGGGTTAGGGGGTGCACATAATAACGTAACACACTACAAAATGTAGCAATGATGCAATCATTGGATACATTGGATACGTTGCATTATAGCCTCCGCGGACCTGCCTCCGGCAACACGTCACTTTCGGACGTGGATTCCTCTCGCTCCGCGGGGTGCAAGTCCGGAGCACGTACAGTCACGTCGTCGCGGGGCCTCTTGGGAGCCTCCTGGGGGCCTCCTGGAGGCCTCTTGGGAGCTTCTTTGGGCCTCTTGGGGGCTTCTTTGGGGCCTCTCCCCCCCTCCTTTTCGTACTCCCTCCCCATGTTCCCTTCCAGCGCCGGCTCTAATCATGCGCGCCGCCGTGACCAACTTCCACCTGGCTGGCGCTGCGCCGTCGTTCGCCCAGGGGGGGAAATAACATTACGCTCCAGTCGTTGTGTGGCCTTGTGGGGGCTTCTTTGAGGCCTCTTGGAGGCTTCTTGGGGATTTCTTGGAGGCCTCTAGGTTTTTTTTTGGGAGTTCCTTGGGGGCCTCTTGGGGGCCTCTCGGGTCCTCTTGGGGACATCTTGGGCCGTCTTGGGGCGTTTTTGCGCCGTTCCGCCCCTTCGGAGGCCGTCTTGGGGGCCTCTCGCGGCCGCCTTGCCGTCATGGCTTTCTGTGGGCCGAAAAAGGCGAGAACGTTGAAATTGTACCAGAACTAAAGGACAATCAAAGATTTTGGCCTCCGGAGGCGCTCTCGGGAGTCTTCTTGGGGGCCTCTTGGACCTTTTTGGGGGCCTCATGGGCCCTCTTGGGGCCATCTTGGGCCGTCTTGAGGCCGGCTTGGGCTGTCTTGGGGCCATCTTGGGCCGTCTTGAAACCTTCTAGGGTCCCAAGAGGCCCAAGAGGCCGAATTTGTTGATTTCTTATAGGTTTTTGTAGGTTTTTGGGCCCACAAGGGGCCCTCCACCTTTGGGTCGACGGAAGCGGCGCGACTCCGGAGGGGGGTTAGGGGGGAGACATAAGAATGCAACACCATATAATACGTGGCAGGTATGCCAGCATTGGACACATGGGATCCATTGCATTAGGGCTTCCGCTCCGCTGCGCGACCTGCCTCCAGCAACACGTCACTTCCGGACGTGGACTTTATAGGCTTACGCCACATCCGCCGACCCCTTGAGCGAGCTCAAGGGTTTGATGGTGCGCTTCGGGGTTGGAGGCCGGCCTGGTCGGAGAAGAAGGAGGTGTAGGAGGTGTAGGAGGAGGGCCGTTTGGGGGCTTCTTGGGGCCGCTTTTGGATCTCTTAGGGGCCTCTTGGGGACCTGGGGGCTTTTTCGGGGCTGGGGCAGTCGTGGGGGCTTTTGCGGCCAGTTATGGGGCCTCTTGGGCCGTCTTGGCGGCTTCTTTGGCTGTCTTGGGAGCCCTCGCCTCGTTGAGTAGTGATAGAGGCTTCGGGCAGGTTGTGGCACGCCCCTGGGCTACTTAAATGAACGACGTGCGTGGGGAGCCGTCGTGCTCAAATGCAGGTGCGTTACCGCGCACAGCCGCCACCGCGTGAGTGACTGTCACGACGCCCCTTGGGGACTTTCTCGAGGCATCCTCCTTTGCATCCTTGGGTGCCCTGCGAACCGCGTGGGGGCCTCCAGGTGGGTCTTGGGGCTGCTGGAGCTGGGCTCCCGTCGCCGTCTTGGAGGGGAGGCGTCGTGGGGTTGGTTGTCTTCGGAGGAGTTTTGAGGTCGTTTCGGGCGGGCCGTGGACCGTACTGAGGCCATCGTGGGTCGGCCTTTGGCCGTCCTGGGGCGGTCTGACAGGATTCGACGAACGCTGCGGTGCAATATTGGGGCCATCTTGAGCCAGGTTTAGGCCGTCTTGGCGCCCTCTTGGGGCCAGCCTTGGTTCCTCTTGGGGCCATTGGACGGTCCTTTCCCCCAGGAGCCCTTCCAGGGGGGCCCAGTAGCCCCAGCGACATGACCCACCCCATCCCCCTCCCCACCGCACCACTACCATTGCCCACCCACCCACCCAAGCAAGCGAGCTGTGTGGACCGCCATGGCTCTTGTCTGGTGCCCAGAGTGAGTGTTCATGTATCTCCCCTTTTGTGGGCCGCCTGTTTCTCAAGGGGCGGCTCACGCTGGCAAAGTGACAGGGACTTCGCGCAGGCACTCTGCACTGAGATGGCAATTGTACATATTTCCGCCCAAACAACTCAACTTGACGAGTAATGCGTTGGCATCGTGTCAGGTGGATGCTGGTCCGTGCAAGTATTCATGCTGCAGTTATGATTGTGGGTGCGCTGGTGTGTTTTAGATTTGCTCGCCAGGGACAAGCGCCATACTGTGCACAGCAGGCAGCCCCTCCTCCTTGCACCTCAACATGATTTGCTCCTCGCGTCTTCCGTGAAGCTGCTGGCGGGGAGGCAAGTTGGAAATGGCCGTGCTTATCCAGGAGATGGTGCCATGCGTTCGTTCATCGGGAGTCATCTTCACTCGAGGCGTGTGGCCGTCTCATTTCTGAGCATGCGCCATGGCTTGATGAGTCCGCCTGTTCCAGGGCTGGAACTTTTTGCTACCTTGTCACGACGCATTCATCGATTTGAGCGGACTAGTTGGGGCGGCAAAGAATATGGTTGCATTTGTTGCGCATGACTTCTCAACAGCAAGAGTTCGGGGGATGTGTATCATCCTAGTCTTGGGACTGACAATTGGACATGATTCTGCGTCCGTCTTCACCGTTGTGGTCGACTGATGCCCAAGGCCCTTCAGTGCGGTACAGCGCCCCCTTCGAATCAACACAGTTGTGGGATTGCTTTGCCTTTCGCATGTGCATATGGTGTTTTCGACCGAGGTCGCAGCTTGAAAGGTTCACATTGTTCCCTTCAGAATGGTTGTGGCCTCTGAGCCGCATACAGTTTGCTAGGTGGGAAATTTGGATGCGGGCCTGGGGAAGAAGACGAGGAGAAGGATGGGAGGAAAAAGCCAGAGGAGGGGAGGAGGTGAGGGAAGGAGAATGGGCAAGGAGAAGTTAGCTGCTACTGCTGCTCCTCCTAATCCTCATGCCCCTCCTCCTTACCTTCTAGGCTCCCTGTGTACCAGCCATGACTCGTGAAGTCCTTTGGGATACCCAGCGGTGGATGCATGTTGGCCAAGCCTACGCCATTGGGGACAGCATTGGGGACAGCATCAGGTTCTTGCCCGACGCGGAGACGGCATTGGGGCAGATGTTCAAGAATGAACGCCTTGTCGGAGGCCAGTGCGGGCCCCTGGCCCATAGAAATGAACACACGGAGCGAGATACACACGAAAGATTGGGTCGAGAGCCTCAGGAGACCCGAGAGCCCAGTGTCAGGAACAAGCGTCCAAGTACTTCCGACACGAAGCAGACGTTTCTCAGCCAAGCCTAGCCTGAGCGAGCCAGGCCTGGTCTAGCCTACTCTGGCAAGTTAATCCTAGATCAGTTTGGCCGTCGCTGTGGTTTCATGCGCGTCCTCGGGCTCGAGCTCATGTTGAGCAAAACGGTGCCGCATTCAGTTTTGGCATCTGTACGCATTAGCTGCGGTGTTGGCTTCGGCTTCGCCAGGGGCTTAGATTGTAAAGCCCTTCCGGCCAGCTCCGCCGACCCTGGACTCGCCACCGTGCCTGGTCTGCAGGCCGGTGCGGGCACTCCTCGGGCCCTCTTCGGAGCCTCTCGAGGCCGAGGACTCGCAATGCCAGTTCGGGTGCCCGCCCTGTGGCCACTCCTGGTGCGCTCCTGCGGCCGTCTCGGGTCGTCGTGGGGCTCGCTGGGGCCACCCCGACGCCCCGACGCGGGCTTCCATTGTCGAGAGAGACAGCCAAACTAGATCGAGGATGACCCGAAGAGGAGGTGAGACTGCTTCTCCGAGGGGGTGGGCTCCATCCAGGAGTCCCCCAAAGGCCCCCCCCCGTAACCCTCTGGGACTTTCCCCACACAGGCGGGGAAGGGATCAAAGAGAAGGAGCTCTCCATTCGACTCGACGGCGACGTTGCGACACTGCTCATTCTCTGGAGCTCAAGAAGCCAAGAAGGAAGATAAGGTAGAGACATGTTGAAGTGGAGGAAGTGAGGGCCGCCACTCCCTCACCCCACGCCGACAGGGTCGGCGGACTCAGATTGAGTTTGGGCCAGGAGTCCGTTTCAGTTTCATGTTTGCATTGATATTGGTAATTGGCTACGCGTGAGCTGTCGCTTTAGTTTTCGGAATCGTCTCGGCTGTAGCCTCGGCCATGCGAAAGTACAGCACGCCAGGGCAACCAAAGTGAAGGCAATGGCGGCCCAGGCCGAGCTGGGCTGGGCCTAATCGCCAATCGCCATCGCGTCACCCGCCACTGGGTAGCGTAAGCCCATCGCCATCATCGCTGGGACCATGCCGCGGTCATGATGGATAGTTGTTCTCACCAACCTGGACTGCCCAGCGGCAGCGGGCGGAGGCGGAAGGCTTCGAGTGATCTCAAGGGGCAGCGTCGCCGATCTGGTCAGGATCGTCGATGAGCTGTCAAGAAACTGTCGAGCGAGTGCCCGAATCGCAGCAATGACTCATAAACACAGCGGCTTCGAGCACCTGAGGGCCCCGTCGAGAACCTTTGCGTAGAGGCCGGCTGGGGCGCGAGCGCCGTCGTGCATGGAGGCAAGGAGGCGCAGCGGGTGCACAATCTGGCCGACCAGGACAAACACCACACCACAATTCAGGTTTTGTCTAGCGGCTGCCCCCTCCAGAGCCGGAAACGCCCAGGCGATTGCCGCTCGCCTTGGTCGTGCCTTCAGCCGTGGCCATGGCGGAAGGCATTCCAGATTGTTTGGGGATTGCGTATCTTGAGGGCGCCCCAGCCATACGCAGGTAGTTCTTGCTGGCGCTCTGGAGTCAGAATCCACCAGAACTCCTTGGCACTACGCGATTGACCGAGGCAGCCAGGACCCGAAGGATATCATCGCGATGGTCGACGGACACAAGGAGGGAACATTTGAAGAACCTCGTTCCTTCATGTTCCTCCTCCACCTCGCTCTTCCATCCTCCCTCCTCGCGCCCTCCCTCCTCGCTCCCCCATCCTCCCTCCTTCCTCTCTCCTACGTCTGCTGATCCTGCTCCTCCAGGTCTTGTTATTGCTGCCGCCGCTACTGGTGCTGCTGCTGCTGCTGCTGCTGCTCATCGTTCTCCCTCCTCCTCGTTCCCTCACCCACCACTTCTGTCCCCTCATCTCCTCCTCCGCCTCCTCCACCTCCGTCGTTGTCCCCTGCCGTCTCCGCTCCTGCCGCTGCTCTTCCCATTCCACAGCGAGCGAAACCATATCAAGACGTTCCCCAGCCTTGTTTTTTCATGATGTTCCACTCGTGCTCTTGTGTTAAAACGCTTGGGATGCCAGGAGTGCGGAAGAGAAGGAGCAGGGAGGCCCCCCAGGCTTTAGTGGCGGTGGCGTCGTAGTGACCGCAGTGCTTCCGTCCTGCATCGGCCAGGCACGCATGCGTGCCTCTTCAAGGTTGGTTTCATGCTCATCAGCATGGTGTTACTCAGCCAGTACCGACCAACCACACATTCACCCTCCCTCGCCCTCTCCTCATCCACCTCCTGCTCCCTCTCCTCCTCCTCCTCCTCCTCCTCCTCCTCCTCCTCCTCCTTCTCCTCCTCCTCCCCCTCCTCCTCCTCCCCCCTCCTCCTCCTCCTCCTCCTCCTCCCCCCCCTCCTCCTCCTCCTCCTCCCCTCCTCCTCCTCCTCCTCCTCCTCCTCCTTGCCTTTCTCCCCTCCTCTCCCTCTCCTCTTCCTCCTCCTCCTCCTCCTCCTCATCATCATCATCATGATCATCTTCATCATCATCATCATCTTAGTTCCTCCTCATCTTCGTTCCTCCTCCTCCTCCACCTCGCCCGCCTCCTCTCCATCCACCTCTCCTCTCCTCCCTCTCCTCCTCCTTCTCATCTTCGTTCCTCCTCATCTTCGTTCTTTCTCCTCCTCCTCCTTCTCCTACTCGCCCGCCTCCTCGTCCTCCTCCTCTCCTCCTATCCCTCTCATCCTCATCCTCCGGATCGGCAGGAGGGCGCCGCGTTGAATCCGACGCGAGGGGATGGGGCCGAGCCTCCGCCGCCCGAACCGCCGTGGAACGGCCTCCAGGCCTAGGTGCCTCGGCCGAGCCGCCAGCGGCTCCTTGGCCCACGACCTGGGCAGCTGTCGGTTCCTCCCCCCCACCTCTTCCTCCTCGTCTTCCTCCTCCTCCTCCTCCTCCTCCTCCTCCTCCTCACCTTTCCTCCCCCTCCTCCTCCTCGTATGCATCCTTGGCCCACGTCCTTGGCTGGAGCTCATAGATCCGACTTCGTTTTTTTCTCCTGCGACTCGTGTTCCCACTCTCACGACCCCAGATGGCGTGGCCTGGCAGCACGTTCTGGTTTCCGTTTCCTGTTCCTGTTCTTGTTCCTGTTCCTTCCTTTTGTTTTTTTGGCATACCAGCAAACCGAGTTGGAAGACAGTTTCTGCTCATTCAGACTACAGAAAGTGCTCCACGACTCGGGCATCCCGTCGACTCGGGCGTCGTGTCAATCCGATCCTGGAATCCATTCGCGTCTTGCCGACTCCGGCTTCCATTCCTCTGGCTCTGGCGCGCGACGCCGAGCAGCGGGTCGTTGTTGTTTCGGGCACCGCGACGAACACGACGACAAGCACGTCATCGCGGCACGGCACAGCGTTACGGCCATGCCGTCCTCGAGCGGGGCGAGCAATGTGACGAGTACCGCATCCCGAACGAGCAGCATGAATGCGGCATCCGCGAGCAGCGCGATCAGTCGGACGGGAGGCACTCTTTTCGTGCAGCAGCGCGAAGGGGGCACATCCCTCTACACCAGCTCCCGTCTCTCCGACTCTGGCTGACACTGCTACGTACTACGGCCCCGACACTCGCTTTCTTCACGCCGACTCCAGCTCTCATCTCTCCAAGGCCAGCTTGCATCTCCCTGGCTCTTGGCACCTATCGTCATTTCTCCGACTGAAACTTGACGCTTCACGCCAATCCGTCTCTGATCTGGGGTTCTCCCCGTGTCGAGATACATATTTGCATGCCCACGCTCAGCAATTCGACTAATATTAACGAGACGACAATCTGCAGCGCGAGGCCTCCTCCCCATCTTCCCCATCCTGCCACCCTCCTCCTTCACGCCCTCCCCCCAATCGCCTTCTTACCATCATCATCATCATCATCATCATCATCATCATCATCATCATCATCATCATCATCATCATCATCATCATCATCATGGCGATGCTACTGATACTGATACGCTCATACGTAAGCTACCTTATCATCGTGTATTCCCGTCTTATTGTCCTAGTGCTGCTGCTGGTGGATGTCTCACGATCGTGCACGAGCGCGTGTGCGATATGTTCAAGCAGCTCTGGCTTGAAGAGGTTGTCCACGGCAGGCTTACTATTCTCCACATGCGGTCTTGCGAGCAGGCTATGGCAGTAGCAAATGTGCATCTGGATCCCACTCTACCCTTCTCCCGCAAGAAAGCGTTCCTTCTGCAGCTGAACCGTCGCCTACCCCCACCGACCCGCTGTGCTAACTACATCCTGGGCGATTTCAATGTTTCGGAAGTTGGGGAGGTCCGACAACGTCTGGATGGCAAAGCTGAAAAATGCAACTCTGGCATGGCTAGATTTTTCTCGGAGCAGTTTCCTGGATATACTGAGCTGTACCAAACGGACCCCGCCCATAGGACATACCACCAGGGTCATATCACGTCTGTTGCCCGTCTGGACAGGATATACTGTTCACTGCCTGCTGAAGAGATTCTCGACCTGTGTCCTCTTGCAGGAGTATCGCGCGGGGTCTTCGACTGCCATCTTCCGAGTGACCATGCCCCTGTATGTTGTGCATTACGGCATCCTGAAGTTAGATGTGCTCCGCGAATTCCGTCGTGGGTGAGACAATCGCCCCTTTTTGCTGAGTGGCTTGAAGCAGAGCTTCGTGAAGTAGATCTGTCTGCGCACCCGCCGACCCGCCTGGAGGAGGTTAAAACCCTTATGTTTTCGGTGTCCAGGAGAGCTCAGCGGAAGAAAGAGATTCTGGGACCTGAGACCGATCTGGAAAAATAGTTGGTGTTTAGCTCTGGTCCGAGGGGTTCGGCATGGACAAACGCGTTTGTTCCAGAGGGCGGTGGCTGCGTATCAGGTGTTACAGCAGTTTTTCTGTTCGGAGGCGTGGGGATGGATTGATCGGGAAGGGCTTCATCTTCATCTTGCTTCTCTTTGTTCTCGGCGCTATAACAGGATGGAGGAGGAGATTCGGAATTCACCAGTTCCATCTAAAGTTCGTGACGGGCGGGTTGCTCGCATTCGTGAGCTTGCTGCAGCGTGGTCTCCATCGCACAAGCGTGTCACCCTACAGGCTATTACGGACCAGTTTGGCGCCCAGCATCATGACCCGCAGATCTGTGCTCGCATCCTTGCTCGATGCTGGGGGGAAGTGTCTGCGCACCAGCCTGTTGCAGCGGATCGTTGTCCCCGATATCTTGCTCATGTTCAGCCTGCCCCTTCTGATGTGCAGTGGCAGGTCTCATTCACGGACTTTCAAGATCTTCTTGCCAACTGCCGTGGTTCGTCCCCGGGTGGGGATGGAGTGCCCTATAGTGCTTGGCAGAACGGAGGTGACCTTGCCCAGCTAGCTTTGTTCGATATGTATCTATTCGTCTGTGAAGGTAACCCCGTTCCAGCCACGTTCGTGGAGAGCATGGCTGTTTTTCTTCCGAAGGGGGACCTTGGGGATCAACTTGAACAGGTTCGGAATCCTGAAGCTACGCGTCCTCTAGCCTTGCCTAACACCGACTGCAAGAGGTCATCGCCGCCTGTCTTGCCTGGCCGATGGCGGACTACGCCGCTCGCTGTGTCCGCCAATGTCAACGTGGCTTTGTGCGCGGCCGCCAGCTGCTGGACAATGTTTTTCACTTAGACGCGCAGCTATTTATGTGGTCAGTCTTAGAAGGGAGCCGTGATGCAGGAGCAGCCTTCCTGGACGTGAAGGCGGCCATTCCGAGTATTTCGCACGAGTGGATCTTTGCAGTCTTGGAGGCAGCCCAGTTTCCTTCGTGGTATGTTCAAGCGGTGAAGAACATGTATTATGGTGTTCGCGTTCGGGTCCGCTTCCGCGGGTGCCAGGACCAATGTTTTTCCCTGGAACGTGGAGTGAAACAGGGCTGCCCAATGTCAGGTGTTATTTTTGCTGTGGCCACAGATTGAATCAACAGATACGTACTTCAGTGTCTGAGGAATGACTTGTCTGACTTCCTGGTCTTCGCTGATGACCAGGGCGTAGTCGCGCACAACATTTTTGTCGTGCTTCCTAAAGTCCTTCGTGAGCTTGTACTTGCTTCCAGGATTACTGGTCTTGTTGTCCATCCTGAAAAAACGCACATTGTTCTTCCTCGGTCTGGGCGAGGTGTGTGAGAAGTTTAGGGTTCATGGGCCCCTGGCCGAAAGATTCAAAATCGTGCAGGCCGCGAAGTACCTAGGTATATACATAGGCTTGCATGCGAGGGAGCTCTCTTGGGCCAAGCCAATTCAGGAACATCAAAAACGCTGCCGTCACATTCGCGGTCTCCAGCTTGGCCTAAGTATGAGCATGCTGACGTATAACATCTTCACCCGGCCTGTGTTGAGCTTTGTTGCCCAGTGTCACACCGTCACGAACAGTGTGCTGAAAGCAGAGCGAGAAGGGCTTCAGTTGCTCACAGCTGCTCCGAGACACTCCTTCAGCCCCGAGATGCTATACCAGCTCAAGGACTCTGGGCTGTCTCGCCAACCTCGCCCGGTTGCCGCTGTTGCCCGCGCTGCCTTATGCCGCGCAGGTCTTCGGAGCGAGGCCTTTCAGATGCGGCTGCAACAATTTGAGCAGATCTTGGCTGGAACGAACTGGGTAGTTGCGTATAGATGGATGCCGTTTTCTCGGGACTCGGTCTTCTTCCAGGTGGTGAATCAGCTTATTATTCTGAGGGCTCAGGTCGATGTGTTCCAGGCCCAGGACCAAGACCTCCAGGCCAAGATCTTCTCTAAGGTAGTGGCAACATTGTACGTCCCGCCTACCAGTCTCCTGCTTCCTAGGCTTCGGTATTGGAATTCTCAGGCGTCTATGACCCAAGCTGATCGGATTAGGCTTCAACTCAATATCCTCGCTTCGAAGCTCCCCGACTCGTGCGCTGTCGCTACGCTGAAAGCGCTCGTAAACGCTTGGCCCACCACTCGTCGTTATCGCCAGGGAGCCCAAGTATGTCGATTCGGATGTCACGCTGTGGGAGGCGATTCTGTAGAGCACTACGTGAGTTGCCGCATAATTCGTCCTGTGCTCACCCGCTGCCTTCCGTTCCTCCCTGCAGAGTGGGGAGACGGGGATCACTTGTCTGCTCTGTTCTTTGCCGATCTTCCATACCCGTCCAAATCTCGTATATGCTCGATTGCCATCGCTTTTGACCTCCTCTTTTCTGCTTTCAACTCCCTCCGCACTCGTCGCATCGTGTCGTCGGAGGTAGAGGTGCGCGCGCTCGAGAGCCGACTCAGAGCGCTCAGCACCAGCTCCCGAGTTGTGCGGCTGCTGGCACAGGGGCGGGACCCGTTCCAGCAGTTCGCGCAGGCCGCGTAGCTCGCTTTGTGCCGCCGCTGCCGCGCTGCCGCGGTCGTCACCTGCCGTCCGCCGAGTGCTCATCATCATCATCATCATCATCATCACCATCGCCACCATCAGCATCAGCATCAGCAGCATCAGCATCATCATCATCATCAGCAGCAGCATCATCAGCATCATCATCCTTTCCCACTCCCACTGCTCCTCCTCCTCCTCCTCCTCCTCCATCCCCCCTGCTCCTCCTTTCCCCCCCCCCCCCCCCCCCCCCCCCTTACCCCAGCACTTGGGGAGCGTTCCTCCTCCCCCTTACTCCTCCCTCTCCCCCTCCCTTCACATCCTTCTCCTCCTCCTCCTCCTCCACATCCTTCTCGCCCTCTTCCTCCTCCTCCTCCTTCGCCTCCTCCTCCTCCTTCCCCATTCTCACCCTCCCCGCCCTCCTCCTCCTCCTCCTCCTCCTCCTCCTCCTCCTCCCCCTCCTCCCCCCCTCCCCCCTCCTCCTCCTCAGCCGCCGTTTCCTGCTCTAGCCCCTTTCTTCGCGGCCCAGCAGGCGCCCCACGCAGAGCAGCTTCAGCCTCCAGGGCACCCTTCATGGTATGCCAGTGCGGCTGACCTTCCATATTCCCTCCGCTCGCTATCTTCTGGATGGTTTTACTGCGACGGGGTGTGTATAACCCGCTCAGCACGGTCGCGCCACCGAGAAGCTTGCAGATGGAGAGACCGTTCAGCGCAGTCGACGTCACCACGTTACCAGCCACTCTCGGGAGGCAGCTCGCCCTCGCCAGCCCCGACGACCAGCCCCAGACCTACCTGCGCCGCTCCGTCGCGAGGTGCTACGGCAGCGGCCCTTTCGCCTACAATCAAGAGGGCGTGGCCAGCGCGATCAGCTACCTCTACCGCCTCGAGTGCGTGACCGCGCCCCCCAGCCCGCCACCGAGCATTCAAGGACGTGCAGGAGCAGTTCGCTTTCAGCGAGGAGGTCTCGGCATGAAGTTCGCTGTTGCGTCTCCTACTCCACGGTCAGGGCTCGCCATGCACCATCACGCTCGGGCCAAGACGATCAACGAGAAGCTCAAGTGGATCAACAAGACCCAGCGCGCGAAGCCCACCAGGAGCACGTCGATCAACGGCCCTGACCTGAACGGCCACTACGGCCAGGGCAGGCTGCCCCCCGCCAAGTTTAGCAACGCGATCGGCGACGCAGGCGCTACAGAAGTACCAGGAAAGGCACCCGCCGCCTTCCACTACACGCTCGACGTGAACGGCAAGTGCATCCTGCACAATTCTCGGTATGCGGTGCCCACGTGCATCAGTGCCCACGGGCAGGCCACGCGCCCCGTCTACAGTGCAGTGCCTCAAGGTCTATGCTCCTGCAATTCTTCTTGCAGAGTACGGCGGCGAACGGTTAAGGCACTCCAGCTCATCAATGACAACGTGCCGCGCGACCCTGTCCTACCGCCTGCAGCCGCCCACGTCATCATCCCGCAGGTGTCCACCGACCTAAGGAGGCTCGCCTGGGACTACGACAAGCTGGCCCTGGCCCTGCCGAAGGACAGGTATCGCACGGAGTTCAATGGCGTGCTGGAGTTCTACTTCGGCAAGCACCAGGACAAGCCGAGGAAGCCGGTCGGGGACAACGCAGAGGACGGACTCGGGGAGCTCCTCGCGAACATCATGAAGCAGCAGCGCCAGCACGAAGCACGACGACAACCCCCAGAGGAGCGCAGCTACGAGGCCTGGCAACAACGAGTACACGCTGAAGTACTACTGTCTCAAATCACGGTCGGCTCCAAACTCGGCAAGCGCAACCGCAAATGCAGCCGCGCGACCAGAACACGCCCCAGCGTGCAGGAGCGGGTAGTTCACATTGCAGCAGACGGCCAGCACGGAGGGTTCAGTGCTCGCCCGTCCGACCTCGTGGAGGACAAGCGCATCGCGAAAGAGACCCCCCACGAGTTTGCCGCCGAGCACAACCTGCAAGTTTGCCAGGACTACGAGGGCGCCAAGGACGGCAACAAGCGAGCACTCCGCGGCGTCATTAAGCGCATCAAGTACCTCAAGAAGTGCCCCCCCGTGCCAGACTGGATACTGCCCGCCGAGATCTTCCAGATGACCTTCCAGCCCACCTACCTCACCAAGCAGCAGCCGAAGTCGTCAGGCGTGGGCTACGTTGACGAGCTCGCTGAGGCCCCCCTCGCGCAGGCGAGCGTCGAGCCAGTCCGTAACCGCGCGTACCGCGTCGGCGTCGCCCCCCTCTACGCCCACCACATCCAGTGCTTCGCCATCGACAGGAAGAACGGCAAGCCCCAGCTCCTCGGCTTGCGCATACTCCACATGCTGCCCCGCGTAGGGCGCTGCTTCTACAGACCGCTTCAGTGCAAGTCCAAGCCGTGGTCACCTCCACCTCCACATGCTCAAGGTCGCTGGCCCCATCGGTGTCGCGAATTACCCGCACGACGCCAACAACGAGGAGGAGTAGCCTACCAGACCAAGGGCGACCACAGGCTGCCGAAGTTGAACACGGTGAAGATCAAGCAAGTGCTGGCCAACTCTCAGCAGCTCGCATGGGTCGTTTCCGCCGTCTACAGCACGTATCCGATGTCGGCGCAGACCGAGGTGACCAAGGCGCTCCGAGCCTGCAGCACGCTCTACGCGGACAACTACAAGGAGACGGGCAAGGGTCACTCACCTATTTCGTCCCTCTGCCCCGCGGAAGTGGGCGCCAACACCAAGAGCAGTTTCACAGAGCACGGGAAGTCAGTGGACCAGTTCAGTGTGGCGACCGACCACTGCAAAGTGAAGCGCCTGAAGATCAGCAAGTGCGACGACAGCTACCCGACAGCCACCACGTGAAGATCACACTGTATAGCGTGCGGGGGCTCAGGACTGATGCGGAGGCCGAGGAGGTTCTGCCTGAGGAGCTGAAGCAGCAGTGCAACACCAAGGACAGCACGCACAGAGCGCCGTTCCAAGTGGGAGCTACGGCGAAGACGGGCACACCACCAACGGGAGTCATGGAGGACATGCTGGCTGCGTGGTGGGCAGGGCTATGACTACGAGTATGAGAATATCGGATGGCCGATGCGACTACGCCTCGTTCGGCAAGGCGATCGGCGTGCGTGGCGCCGGGATCGCAATGAAGGTGTCGCTCTGAGCGGCGACGGCGGGGGCCCATCCTTGCGGCCGAATGCACTGCCTTGCCCCCCAATGCCGCTCTATCTGTCTATCTACCTCCTCCTCCTCCTCCTCCTCCTCCTCCTCCCCACCCTCCTCCTCCTCCTCATGCGCTGAGGCGCACCCTTTGAGCTGGCGCGCGCACCACAGCCAGCCCCGCGCCGCCGCCTGGAGTCCCTCTCTTAGCGCTATCGATGTTCCTCCTCCTCTTCCTCCTCTTCCTCCTCCTCTTCATCCTCCCCTTCCCCATTCCGCCTACTCTTGCTCCTGCTCCTCCTTCTGATCATCCTCTTCCTTCCTCCTCATCATCCCCCTCAGCCATCCTCCTCCTCCCCCTCCTCCTGAACCTTCCCCTCCTCCCCCTCCTCCCTCCTCCATCATCTTTCCGCCCCTTCTCC